TTTTTTATGCAGGTGGATTATATGCAAAAAAAATGTGCTTCCTGATGGAACGTTTGGCTAAATCAAACTAGTGACTTGAAGAAAATCTTGGTGATCAAGATGTTCAAGTGGATTTCCCTACAACAGGAAAAGTGATCTTGAAGGTGATATAAGTAGAACTATATGAATATTAGCATTTCGTAGGTGAAAAAGTTTCCAAGAGAAATGTTTTTTGAATCCACCCAAAGGAGCAGGTGATGCACATGTGAAGCAATGGAAATAATACGAATATGTTTTGTGGGTTGAGTGATACAGTGAAGGTATGGTATTTCTCAGTTGGGTCCGTGTTACTGGAAGTAGGTTGTATTCAACAATGTTCTACAGATGATGCATGTTGCTTTTTCTGTGGGGACGTTGCATGGAATCGGACCAAAGTGACAGAGAAAATTGAAAAGCGAATTTATGATTGAGGTCGTGCTTTGGTGCCTTTAAAGTACACCTCTGGACTTCAAATCAGGAAAGTGTTAATTGTATTTTGATAAATTGGTCCAGGTTCTCTCAAGATGAATTTGCACCCAGGGAAAAAATAGATTGATCAAACTTCTTAAAGCAGACAATTAAATTGGTTCTACACGTAGACAAGACCTGATGCCAATTAGGACATACAATAAGCCATCATCCAAAACTGTGGTTGCGTTTCTGAAAATAAACATGAGTTCCCATAAACAATCAATGTTAAAACTGGAATGACATTCCTGGAGATTTCCTTATCCGGAATTAAAACACTATACGTTGTAAGTTGAAATACATTGGCATTGGTAAATGAGCTAATTTTATTTTTCAAAAGTAACTTTCTGCTTATTGTATCTCCTGCTCATCACTAGTCCAGCTTGCTGCTATAGATCCTTGCCCTCCCGACATACTTTCTCTCCCCTAGATAGAGGGGGGCGTCATGCACAAGTAAAGGCTGGGCATGGGGAATTACTGCACTTTTGAAGTCTCTGCATAACGAGTGGCATGGAGTCAGAAAATAGGTCAAAATGGTGCCAGTTGGTCAGATAATCAATGCTAAAATTAATCTTCTGACACTCAATGCAATTACAAGTCTTATTAACTACTAGGAAAAAAATTCCTTGTACATTATCGACTTTCAGCATTTTTTTTTCTGGAATTTCTCCCAGGCTTTGGCTGGCTGAACCTATAATTATTGCCCCTTAACTACTTAAGTTGCCTGACACTCCCTGTACTGGTTTCCTGAACTCCCATCACTGATGGGGAGTACTATTTTCTGCTGTTATCCATGATTCTTCTTGGGTATTAGCTGAACATTTGGCACCATTTCTTCAGGGACACCTGATCTTTTGAGAATGCGTGCACTTTGTGTGCTTACTGTAAATTTTTCTTTTCCTCTAACTATTTCCAAAATCTGCATTTTCATACTTTAGAATTCTATAGTTCTATAATTACTTAAGGCCATAATTGGGCCTGAGGGTGCTCAAGTGTCTCAATTTTTGCCTGGGGTGTAAGGTTTTGTATATGGCTTTGGTCAAGTGTCTGGTTTGTCAAAAGTTGGTGGATCGGGCACCTGTCTCTGTCTTTGTTTCTATGGGTGCTGCACTGACCCATTGTCCAGATTGTCCTCACCTGGAAGGGCCAGCTACATAGCCATCATTTGGGCTGTTGAATACAGGGGATCATAGCAGGCTGGAGCTTCCAAGCCAGATCATGGACCATACCTGTCCCATTATCTATATTTATTGTCCTTGTTTCCCAAGTCTACCTTGCCCAAATCTGAATAATCTTGGGAGCAGTTGCCCAGTGGAGGCCCAGGTCATCTTGTTAAGTCCAGTGAACATAATCCAAAGTACATCTTCCTTTTTTTAAACAACCATTTTCTCACCTGAGATAATCTATTTACCTCCACATTTTTCTGACTGGTAGTCATTCCCTTCTCTCTTCATATGGACTTCCCACTGCTCTTTGATTGCCTGGGGTCCATGAAGAATCCCAGCTTTCCTTTGTCATTTTGCTTATCCTTATTCACCAAGAATTTGGTGGATGACCCAGTGGTCCCCACTTTGAGCACTATCTGGGATTGTTCCTTCTTTGAAGTCTGACTATCACTAATTCCTTGTGGGGGGGAAATGGGTCTCTCTTGTTTTTACCCTGCAATTGTTCTTATCCCTTGTGTGAATGGACCACTGCCCTTTTGTTATGTCACCTGGTATACCCTGAACAGTATTACTTTCTTGTCTACCCATGGAACTATGATTCTGGAGCTGTGCCCTCTTTGGTTACTGCCCTGTAGGCTTGTACTTTGGCTCAGATTTTTGAGTGGTGCACCAGCTTCCCATCCTGAATACTGATTGCCTATCTAACAGGTGGTAAAGTAAGCATACTCACCCATCCACCATTGATGTTTGATTCGGCGCCAACATTTGAGCCTTCTGGAATCTGTCGACTGTGCCAATTGTAGTGGTCAGAAATTGATCTTGGCTCCGCCCTCTGCAACTGGACCCTCAGCTTTCTGATCAGTAGACTGCAATCTGTGAAGATAGGTAACTGCAGCTGCTCCACAATAACACTCGACACTGGAGCCCCCCAGGGATGCAACGTCAGACCCCTAATTGTACTCCCTATAAACAACTGTCGCCAAATTCCAAATGAACGCAGTCTACAAGTTGGCTGATGACACTGCTGTAGTGGGATAGATACCTAACAACAACGAGTCAGAAGGGAGATAGAGGGCTTGGTGATGTGGTGCAATGAAAGCAATGTCTCTCTCAATATCAGAAAAACTAAAGAACTGATCATTGACTTCAGAAAGAAAGAAAGGAGAACATGTCTCCATCTACATCAATAGAACGGAGGTTGAGAGGGTGGACAGTGCCGAGTTCCTCAGTGTAACAATAACTGACAATCCGTTCTGGACTTCCAATGTAGATGCAACAGTCAAGAAGGTGCAACAATGCCTCTTCCTCAGGTGGCTCAGGAAATTTGGCATGTCCTTAAGGTCCCTCACCAGCTTCTGCAGGTGCACCATTGAAAGCATACTGTCCAGGTGCATAATGGACTGGTATGGCAACTGCTCTGCCCAGGACTGTAAGAAACTGCAGAAGGTCATGTGCTCAGCTCAGAACATCACAGAAGCCGTCCTTCCATTCATGGACTGTATTTACATGGCTCGCTGCCGACATTACCAGGGTGCGATGCATCATTGATAATCTCCTACAACTCTTCCATCAGGCAGAGGAGAGAGAAGTCTGAACACACGCTTGAGCAGGTTCAGGAACAGCTTCTTCTCAACCGTTAATAGACTGAATGGATTCTCTAGCCTCAAATAAATAAGAATTGATCTTGCCTAGCACATGCCCTGTGCAATGTAACCTGTACCTCTAAGTTGCTTTGATCTGTACTGCTCGTGAACAAAGCTTTTCACTGTGCTTCGCTACTTGTAACAATAAATCAATCAATCAAACGCTGAGCCTGCAGCATCAAATAAGTGTTTTTTTTTGAGCAAAGGCATAGGAGAAGATATTGGTCACTCCAAAGAACTTCTCAGAGTGGTACAGAATTTTCAGCACCTATTTATAGTTCATAACTCTTTAGTTTTGCTGTAATGTTTTGTGATAGCCATTCGCTATTAACTGCGTAACACCAGCACGTACACATGATGAGTTTTACAACCCTAGGAGTGAGTTGAATTTTGTAGACACAGCAGATGTTTCTTAATCTCAAATGTCTACTATGGAATTCGGTTCCTCTTATTGGCTTTCTCTATGTAGCCATGAAAAATATGTTTACACAATCTGAGGTTTTTATTGTTACTTGCTGAGCTAACATTCCAGATTGCCCTTTGTCAAGTATTCCATCATGCTAGGCAGAGACTTGCTTAACTACAACACTTGGGTGCTAACCCACCTAGGGGGAGGCGATGGCCTAGTGGTATTATCACTGGACTCAATCCAGAGACCTAGATAATGTTCTGGGGACCTGGGTTCGAATCCTGCCATGGCTTATTGAACTTGAATTCAATAAATGTCTGGAATTAAGAATCTAACAATGACCGTGAATCCATTGTCAATTGTTGGAAAAACCCATTTGGTTCACTAATGCCCTTGGGGAAGGAAACTGTCATCCTTACCTGGTCTGGCTGACATGTGACTCCAGACCCACAGCAATGTGGTTGGCCCTGAACTGCCCTCTGGGCAATTAGGGATGGGCAATAAATGCTGCCTACCCAGTGACCCCCTCGTCCCGTTAATGAATAAAGAAAAACTTGATGCATTTTAATATTAACCCTTCTGATATTAGCCCCCTCTGACCCTCTTTTCATGAAGAGAAAAATGATGGGTGCAAAGGGTGATATTTATCCGTGCACGTCTTACTGAACTATCAAAAGCTATTTCTTCATTTCCCCTTGTCATAGAAATGTGGATATTTACTCCCATGATGTTACTGAACTTGAATGATTCAATCTTCCACTGCTCTATTCCTACCCAGATAATGTGGAACTGTATTGAGCGCTCTGATAGTACCCTTCAGATTTGTCCTGACTTTGAACAATTTTCACCCATTGTCTTGAACTGCAGTCATTGAATTTAGAATATCACTTAGGATTAATCTTTTTTTTTTCCATCTGGTGTCTTGCAAACCTCAAGAAATGCTTTCTTTTCATGCTGAAGCATTCGGGCTTTCTTCATAGCACTCACTTATGATACTTTGATCATCTTGGTCATCCTTCTGTGCATTGCTTCAAAGGCCTAGACACTACCTTTTCGTTTCTATAGCAAAAACAGAAAACTACTTACTGCCATCCAGCTTAAACTTTTCAGATTTGGCCAAGTGATTTGATGTTACCTAAGAAGGATGAATTGCTGATTTGCACAGACTGGATGTGGTTAGAATCCATAATTTATTATTCTCAGTATAGCCTGAAAATAAGTCTACTATTTACTATGCGGTATAGTTATAAATTTATTTTGATGAAAATGTCCTCTCTGTTTTTACTTCCTCCGTAGTTTCTGATCTGGCAACTGAAAGAGATCTCCAGAAGACCCTCCAACAGATGGAACCCCTGATTTCTCTTCTGGAAGATCTGACTAAGATGGGAGGAGCAATGCGATCCATCTTGACCAGAGTTCTTACTAATCATCAGATATACAAAGATCTTTGCTCTGGTGATTTTTGTAAGTCTAGTTTATAAAATGCCTTGACATTAGAAATCTTTAACTCTCAATTTAGTGAAATTGTGTTAAAGTACAGATAGCAAATCTTGGAAATCCATTATCTTAGTTGGATTGAGTTGAAGTTGTTCTGTAACATAGCTAATGGTGTGACAGTACAGTTGGGTTAATTGTCTAGTAAAGCTAGCAATTACATTGTGTGTGTGTGTGTGTGTGTGTGTGTGTGTGTGTGTGTGTGAGAAAGGGAAATACTTCCTTAAGCTATATATATCTTGAATGTCACTTCAGTGTTATGTAGCTATCTGTTTGTCTGCTGGGCCAAAGGGTCTTTAAGAAATGAGGCGTTCTGATTGACAAACATATCCTGTTAATTAAACAGTGTTTTCCATTAGTTGGCTTTCAGTCAAGCATTTGAGCCCATTGAAGGGCACTATAGTTCAGGAAATAAACATTTGAACCACGTTTTATTGTCTATTGAAAATCAAAAGAATCGCCAAAGTATGCATTAAATTAATTTATGGCTTTACAGTTTAGTTCTTTATCAATCTACTTATTTAGCTCAAGGATCTTTTTCTAATTTCCAAGAATTAGTTATTCTGGAAAACCTCGTTCAGTACCTAGAGCAACTTAACAACATCTGGGTTTCCGTCTCCAGATCCTTGACATTTCCAATATCTCAGTTTATTGATGGTAAACCTCTTTCTTTTGTATTGTAAACATATCTTCAAGAATATTTAGCCCTAGTCTTGCCATTTGTGTTGGTGGAATTGTAGGTCATTACTCCAAATTTATACCTGATAATGTGAATTTACAGCAGTTATAATACTGACACTGCTATGCTTCTGTAATACTGTCAGTCTTGCTTCCAGAAGCAAGAAATTTTTGCAGTTTTTCAAACCATAGATCTGACTCAGCATTTATTGGATCCTTGGTTTGCTGTTTCTGTGGACCTTGTGGTTGTTGTGGAGTTGCTTGGTTTTGTTAATGTATTGTACACTGAATAAAAACATAGTTACTGAGGCCATACTTCATGGCAGTGTTTCCTTTTTTTTTCATGGAATGTGAGATCCCTTTACATTTTTTTTTTTTCTCCATGTAACCAGATTGTGCAACATTTAAAGGGCCTAGCTTGTACCTGCGGACTTTTGAGGTTGCTGCAAACCTAGACAACTTGCAGAGAATGATGCTGTCAGGGCAGAAGCAGTGTTTCCTTGTAATATGTACACAACCATGCTTGTGCACATCTCTCAAAGGGATTGTCCAGAGCAGCTAGCTGACCGCGTATATCACACTGAAGTTGGAAGGAATATTGCTTTTAGAACGATGCATTTATGTAACTGTCTGACGTGGCTCATTAGGATGGAAAGAAA